TATCATTTTAATGGTAGGTTTATTTGAACAGTGAGAGACAGAATAACAACAACAAAAATCTCTCTGCAAAACATTACTTAGTACTTGGTGGCAAAACTCTTGTTGGCAATCACAGAGGTCAGACGTTTCTTGTAGTTGGCCACCAGGTTTGCACACATCTCAGGAGGAATTTTGTCCCACTCCTCTTTGCAGATCTTCTCCAAGTCATTAAGGTTTAGAGGCTGACGTTTGGCAACTCGAACCTTCAGCTCCCTCCACAGATTTTCTACTGGCTAGGCCACTCCAGGACCTTAATGTGCTTCTTCTCGAGCCACTCCTTTGTTGCCTTGGCTTTGTGTTTTGGGTCATTGTCATGTGGAATACCCATCCATGACCCATTTTCAATGCCCTGGCTGAGGGAAGGAGGTTCTCACCCAAGATTTGACGGTACATGGCCCCGTCCATTGTCCCTTTGATGCAGTGAAGTTGTCATGTCCCCTTAGCAGAAAAACACCCCCAAAGCATAATGTTTCCACCTCCATGTTTGACAGTGGGGATGGTGTTCTTGGGGTCATAGGCAGCATTCCTCCTCCTCCAAACACGGCGAGTTGAGTTGATGGCAAAGAGCTCGATTTTGGTCTCATCTGATCACAACACTTTCACCCAGTTCTCCTCTGAATCATTCAGATGTTCATTGGCAAACTTCAGACGTGCCTGTATATGTGCTTTCTTGAGCAGGGGGACCTTGCGGGCGCTGCAGGATTTCAGTCCTTCATGGCGTAGTGTGTTCCCAATTGTTTTCTTGGTGACTATGGTCCCAGCTGCCTTGAGATCATTGACAAGATCCTCCCGTGTAGTTCTGGGCTGATTCCTCACCGTTGTCATGATCATTGCAACTCCACAAGGTGAGAACTTGCACGGAGCACCAGGCCGAGGGAGATTGACAGTTCTTTAGTGTTTCTTCCATTTGCTAATAATCGCACCAACTGTTGTCACCTTCTCACCAAGCTGCTTGGCGATGGTCTTGTAGCCCATTCCAGCCTTGTCTAGGTCTACAATCTTGTCCCTGACATCCTTGGAGAGCTCTTTGGTCTTGGCCATGGTGGAGAGTTTGGAATCTGATTGATTGATTGCTTCTGTGGACAGGTGTCTTTTATACAGGTAACAAGCTGAGATTAGGAGCACTCCCTTTAAGAGTGTGCTCCTAATCTCAGCTCGTTACCTGTATAAAAGACACCTGGGAGCCAGAAATCTTTCTGATTGAGAGGGGGTCAAATACTTATTTCCCTCATTAAAATGCAAATCAATTTATAACATTTTTGACATGCGTTTTTCTGGATTTTTTTGTTGTTATTCTGTCTCTCACTGTTCAAATAAACCTACCATTAAAATTATAGACTGGTCATGTCTTTGTCAGTGGGCAAACGTACGAAATCAGCAGGGGATCAAATACTTTTTTCCCCTCACTGTAGGACCCTAGTCAAAAGTAGTTTACTATATAGGAGATAGGGGTGACATTTGGGATGCAGAATGCGTCTCACTGTATCTGTCTATTGGCTTGGACTTCAATTATTTACTTCAGATAAAACCTCAAAACAAATAAACAATGAAGTCATTTAGCTACAGACCAATATCTAGAGGACATGCTGCTAAAATGTTCTACTAGATAATATGATATACTACACACACACCGAACACGGTGATAACACTAGCTGAACAGAGATGGAGAAAGGTGATGGACAAGGTTGTGTCCCATTTACCCATACTAAATAGTATGCACATTATGAGTGAATTCTACATGGACTGTAGCATTTGAAGTTCATTGCAAATTAACACTTTTGAAGGTTTTTTGCGAGTAAAAAGTGATATTTTAATCGTATTAATTGCAGTTGAGTGTGACTGTGTTCAACCGTTAGCCCCTGGAGGGGAGAAGAAAGATATTATCAATTCAAATCACATTTTATTTGTCACATGCACCGAATACAACAGCTGTAGGTGGACCTTACTGTAAAATGCTTACTTACAAGCCCTTAACCAACAATGCAGTTCAAGAAATAGAGTTAAGAAAATATTTACTAAATAAACTAAAGTAAAAAAAAAATAAAGTAACACAATAAAATAACAATAATGAGGCTATATACAGGGGGCACCGGTACCGAGTCAATGTGCAGGGGTACAGGTTAGTTGAGGTAATTTGTACATGTAGGTAGGGGTAAAGTGACAATGCATTGATAATAAACAGTGAGTAGCAGCAGTGTAAAAACAAAGGGGGGGTCAGTCAATGTAAATAGTCTGGGTGGCCATTTGATTAATTGTTCAGCAGTCTTATGGCTTGGGGGTAGAAGCTGTTAAGGAGCCTTTTGGTCCTAGACTTGGCGCTCCGGTACCGCTTTCTGGAGTCTTTGACAATTTTTTGGGCCTTCCTCTGACACCGCCTGGTATATACAGTACCAGTCAAAGGTTTGGACACACCTACTCATTGATTTTACATTTACCTTTTAGTCATTTAGCAGACGCTCTTATCCAGAGCGACTTACATGAGCAATTAGGGTTAAGTGCCTTGCTCAAGGGGCATATCGACAGATTTTTCACCTAGTCGGCTCGGGGAATAGAACCAGTGACCTTTCGGTTACTGGCACAACGCTCTTAACCACTAAGCTACCTGCCGCCCCATTCAAGGGTTTTTCTTTATTATTCTACAATGTAGAAAATAGTAAAAATAGTGAAGACATCAAAACTATGAAATAACACATATGGAATCATGTAGTAACCAAAAAAGTGTTAAACAAATCAAAATATATTTTATATTTGAGATTCTTCAAAGTAGCCACCCTTTGCCTTGATGACAGCTTTGCACACTCTTGGCAAAGGACACATTTCCACCGGACTAATGTCCATTTGCTCGTGTTTCCTGGCCCAAGCAAGTCTCTTCTTCTTATTGGTGTCCTTTAGTAGTGGTTTCTGTGAAGCAATTCGACCATGAAGGCCTGATTCACACAGTCTCCTCTGAACAGTTGATATTGAGATGTCTGTTACTTGAACTCTGTGACGCATTTATTTGGGCTGCAATTTCTGAGGCTGGTAACTCTAATGAACTTATCCTCTGCAGCAGAGGTAACTCTGGGACTTCCTTTCCTGTGGCGGTCCTCATGAGAGCCCGTTTCATCATAGCTCTTGATGGTTTTTGCAACTGCACTTGAAGAAATATTCAAAGTTCTTGAAATGTTCCGTATTGACTGACCTTCATGTCTTAAAGTAATGATGGACTGTAATTTCTCTTTGCTTATTTGAGCTGTTCTTGCCATAGTATAGTCTTGGTCTTTTACCAAACACTTTTTTGGTTACTACATGATTCCATATGTGTTATTTCATAGTTTTGATGTCTTCACTATTATTCTATAATGTAGAAAATAGGAAAAATAAAGAAAAACCCTGGAATGAGTAGGTGTGTCCAAACTTTTGACTGGTACTGTAGGTCCTGGATGGCAGGAAGCTTGGCCCCAGTGATGAACTGGGCCACACGCACTACCCTCTGTAGCGCCTTATGGTCAGATGCCGAGCAGTTGCCATACCAGGCGGTGATGCAACCGGTCAGGATGCTCTCGATGGTGCAGCTGTAGAACTGTTGGAGGATCTGGGGACCCATGCCAAATCGTTTCAGTCTCCTGAGGGGGAAAGGGTGTTGTTGTGCCCTCTTCACGACTGTCACGACATGATAGTTGGTTGGTGATGTGGACACCAAGAAACTTGAAACTCTTGACCCGCTCTACTACAGCCCCGTTGATGTTAATGGGGACGTGTTCGGCCCTCCTTTTCCTGTAGTCCACGATCAGCTCCTTTGTCTTGCTCACGTTGAGGGAGAGGTTGTTGTTTTGGTACCACACTGCCAGGTCTCTGACCCCCTCCCTATAGGCTGTTTCATCATTGTCGGTGATCAGGCCTACTACTGTTGTGTCGTCAGCAAACGTAATGATGGTGTTGGAGTCGTGTTTGGCCACGCAGTCATGGGTGAACAGGGAGTACTGGAGGGGACTAAGCACGCACACCTGAGGGGCCTCAGTATTGAGGATCAGCGTGGCAGATGTGTTGTTGCCTACCCTTACCACCTGGGGGCAGCCCGTCAGAAAGTCCAGGATCCAGTTGCAGAGGGAGGTGTTTAGTCCCAGGGTCCTTAGCTTAGTAATGAGCTTTGTGTGCACTATGGTGTTGAATGCTGAGCTGTAGTCAGTGAACAGCATTCTCACATTGGTGTTCCTTTTGTCCAGGTGGGAAAGGGCAGTGTGGAGTGCGATTGAGATTGCGTCATCTGTGGATCTGTTGAGGCGGTATGTGAATTGGAGTGGGTCTAGGGTTTCCGGGTTGATGATGTTGACTAAATCCCCTATGAGATCCTTTCCTGTTATTTAATGACGTTGGCTTACGCTAAAATACTACAGAGGTTTCCATCATCTGGCTTATTCTAAGCCCCCTGTTGGTGTCCCAAATGGCACCCTATTCCCCATGTAGTGCACTACTTTTGACCAGAGCCCTATGGGCCCAGGTCAAAAAGAGTGCTCTAAATGGGGAATAGTGTGCCATTTGGGATGCAAGCTCTCTGTGGACCTCAAGGGGGTTTCTGTAGGACCCAACAGACAGTTCCCTCCTTTAGTCTGATTTAAATTAATTAACTTACTAATTGTTTTTTAGCTAATTGATAAACACACACACACACACACAAACAATCTAAATAGTAGCAGGTGTCCTATTTTAACTTTTGCTGTGAACCTCCTGCTGGCAGCTAACTGTCATTATCACATGGATATAAAATGCACTCTAAACACATTGGCCAAACCACTACCACACTAAAAGCCTGTTTCAGTGAGGTGATGGCCATTCATTTTCACTGGCTGCCCATTTTCTCTGCTCCACATAATCAATGACTGATGTACAGATGTCTTTCTCTCTTTCTTTCGCTCTCTCGCTCACTTGCTCTCTCTTTCTTTTATTTTATTTATTTCTCGCTCCCCCTTCCCCCTCTCCAGGATGTATGATGTGGGGGGTCAGAGGACAGAGAGGAGGAAGTGGATTGGTTGTTTCGAGGACGTCAGGGCCGTCGTATTCGTTGTTTCTCTCAGTGGATACGACATGACCCTAGTAGAGGACCCATCTATGGTGAGACACACTCTATTGTTAACCCACCATCTTTAAATGTCATTTTCCTGATGAACAGAACACTATTACAATGTTACTATAGAAGGTCTGACCGTGACAGAAGGCCTTAAAACGCTGTGCTACTGATGTTACTCTTCTGTCTAATGATTTCCTCCCTTTCAGAACCGCCTACAAGAGAGTCTGAAACTCTTCTCTTCCATCTGCAACAACATCTTCTTCAGGAGTACCTCGATGGTAAGAGACAGTCTATATACGGGACTCTCGTGGTAGAGACGTCTATATAGAGGACCTCACTGGTAAGAGACGTCAACTGAGACCTCAATGGTAAACGTCTAAACAGAGTACCTCAATGGTAAAGACAGTTTATCCTGGAGGACCTCAATGGTAAGAGACTGTCTATATACTGGAGGACCTCAATGATATACTGGAGGACCTCAATGGTAAGAGACAGTCTATATACTGGAGGACCTCACTGGTAAGAGACAGTCTATATACTGGAGGACTCATGTAAGAGACAGTCTATACTGGAGGACCTCACTGTAAGAGACGGTCTATATACTGGAGGACCTCAATGGTAAGGGACTGTCTATATACTGGAGGACCTCAATGGTAAGAGACTGTCTATATACTGGAGGACCTCAATGGTAAGAGACAGTCTATATACTGGAGGACCTCACTGGTAAGAGACTGTCTATATACTGGAGGACCTCAGTGGTAAGAGACAGTCTATATACTGGAGGACCTTAGTGGTAAGAGACTGTCTATATACTAAAGCCCAATTAAAATGAAAAGCGTATTTTTACGCATGTGAACAAGGGTGTACAGGCTGGAATTAGAATGCACAGGAGTAAATGAGAGAGAACAGATGGGCCGCGAGTGTCAACGGCCTCTACGGTGTCATAAGTCTGAAAGAATGGTATTTTGTAAGAGATAATGTAACCAGCGATTAGAATAAAGCTAGCCCATTAGCCTGAGGCTAGTTCCCAGACTGGGTTAGTAGAAAATATGCCAAACTAGCTCGGCAGACAGGTGACATTTTTTTTATTTTCAAATATTGCAGGGAACAGATTTTGCCATGATTTTTGACCATGGCTAGGAAAGTTCCATCCCATACAGAACTTTTCCATTGATAGTTCGAGCTCCTGGGTCGGGTCTAAACAGAGTGTGGTTGACATGGTGACATGGTTGTCCTCTTGCTAATGGACAGGATGGAGAAGACGTACTGTTACGCAGAGAGCGGTCCATGGGGAGCACAGAGTGGGAACGGATGAGTGAAGCAAACATGGAGGAAGGCTTTCTTCGTCTCTCTCCACCTCGTTCTCTCTCTTTCTCACTTGTCATTTATGTCACTCGTGGCTTCTGAGTGGACATGCCTCTGCAATGTCTTTGTCACCACACACCTACACACACGCACGCACGCCACACACACCACACACACCACCGACCACAGCCTTTGTTCTAATAGATCCCTTGTCACTTGTAATTAAACAGCGAACAGTAATTTAGGTGTGCGTTCTGCTTGCTTCCAGCCCACACAAACACACACGCACACACCCGCCCTCATCACATTAAAGACACAGTGTAACGAGCTTGTTTAATGGGACCTCCTTTAGCATGTTTTTAATGCCCACTTAGAGTGTGTGTGTGTGTGTGTGTGTGTGTGTGAGACCGAGTAATTAATCTATCAGGGCGTGTCTGTGAGTCTGCTTACCTATAACCCTCCACCCACGTTTCCCCTGTGTTAATTACACACCTCACACTCACACACACACACCTCACACACACACATTCACACATTCATTATTCTCTTCATTCAAATCAGTTCATCCATCATTATCTAGCCAGTTGTTGTTCTTTTAACCAAATTAACCAAAGCGAGGTGGAATGAGAACTCCTTATAGACTTTTAATTGGTCAACTAGTGAACCACTACAGTGAACCAAGTTGCGTCCCAAATGGCACCCTATTCCCTTCATATGGGCCCTGGTCAAAAGTAGTGCACTATATAGGGAATAGCATATCATTTGGGATGAACCCACTGAGTCAGAGTGTTGTGTACTGTGAAAGGGACAGGCAGTCAGGGAGAGTGTGTGTGTGTTGACTCACACCATAATACTTGCGACAGCTAGATCAATCAATCATTCTGTAGCCAAGGCTTCACTATGTAATTTATCTGAATTTGCCAGTGATCGCTCTCCCAATCACATCTACTGATTTGACCATTCATCAACTGACATTTACGGTTGATTGATGAATATTATAATTCTGCAGTTACAGCGGGGAGAACAAGTATTTGATACACTGCAGATTTTGCAGATTTTCCTACTTACAAAGCATGTAGAGGTCTGTAATTTTTATCATAGGTACACTTCAACTGTGAGAGACGGAATCTAAAGCAAAAAAACAGAAAATCACATTGTATGATTTTTAAGTAATTCATTTGCATTTTATTGCATGACATAGAAAAGCAGAACATCAGAAAAGCAGAACTTAATATTTGGTACAGAAACCTTTGTTTGCAATTACAGAGATCATACGTTTCCTGTAGGTCTTGACCAGGTTTGCACACACTGCAGCAGGGATTTTGGCCCACTCCTCCATACAGACCTTCTCCAGATCCTTCAGGTTTCGGGGCTGTCGCTGGGCAATACGGACTTTCAGCTCCCTCCAAAGATTTTCTATTGGGTTCAGGTCTGGAGACTGGCTAGGCCACTCCAGGACGTTGAGATGCTTCTTACGGAGCCACTCCTTAGTTGCCCTGGCTGTGTGTTTCGGGTCGTTGTCATGCTGGAAGACCCAGCCACGACCCATCTTCAATGCTCTTACTGAGGGAAGGAGGTTGTTGGCCAAGATCTCGCGATACATGGCCCCATCCATCCTCCCCTCAATACGTTGCAGTCGTCCTGTCCCCTTTGCAAAAAAGCATCCCCAAAGAATGATGTTTTCATCTCCATGCTTCATGGTTGGGATGGTGTTCTTGGGGTTGTACTCATCCTTCTTCTTCCTCCAAACACGGCGAGTGGAGTTTAGACCAAAAAACTCTATTTTTGTCTCATCAGACCACATGACCTTCTCCCATTCCTCCTCTGGATCATCCAGATGGTCATTAGCAAACTTCAGACGGGCCTGGACATGCGCTGGCTTGAGCAGGGGGACCTTGCGTGCGCTGCAGGATTTTAATCCATGACGGCGTAGTGTGTTACTAATGGTTTTCTTTGAGACTGTGGTCCCAGCTCTCTTCAGGTCATTGACCATGTCCTGCCGTGTAGTTCTGGGCTGATCCCTCACCTTCCTCATGATCATTGATGCCCCACGAGGTGAGATCTTGCATGGAGCCCCAGACTGAGGGTGATTGACCGTCATCTTGAACTTCTTCCATTTTCTAATAATTGTGCCAACAGTTGTTGCCTTCTCACCAAGCTGCTTGCCTATTGTCCTGTAGCCCATCCCAGCCTTGTGCAGGTCTACAATTTTATCCCTGATGTCCTTACACAGCTCTCTGGTCTTGGCCATTGTGGAGAGGTTGGAGTCTGTTTGATTGAGTGTGTGGACAGGTGTCTTTTATACAGGTAACGAGTTCAAACAGGTGCAGTTAATACAGGTAATGAGTGGAGAACAGGAGGGCTTCTTAAAGAAAAACGAACAGGTCTGTGAGAGCCGGAATTCTTACTGGTTGGTATGTGATCAAATACTTATGTCATGCAATAAAATGCAAATGAATTACTCAAAAATCATACAATGTGATTTTCTGGATTTTTAGATTCTGTCTCTCACAGTTGAAGTGTACCAATGATAAAAATTATAGACCTCTACATGCTTTGTAAGTAGGAAAACCTGAAAAATCGGCAGTGTATCAAATACTTGTTCTCCCCACTGTATATCCATATGACATGGAAGTGGTATTTACAGGAAATGGTTTGTCACCAGTTGCCACAATATTATTCTTGATTGAATATTGATTTGAATATTAATTGAACATCCTCCTTGTTGTTTATTTGTTTATCTGTGTATTTGTTTATTTGTTTACTTCTTTATTTATACATGTGGTTATTTATTTGCATATAATTGCCAACCAGGGATGTCGGATATTGTTTATTTATTTGTTTATTCATTGCAGATCTTATTTATGAACAAGATCGATCTTTTTCAAGAGAAGATTTTACATTCGGGGCGACATCTGCGACTGTATGTGCCACAGTTCAAAGGTCAGTCACGCTGAGAAAACAAGAAAGGGTGTGTGTGTGTCCACACCCTAACACACACACAACACCAATAGGTAAAACATATGTGACCAGACTGATAATGCTGTTGCAATCAATTGGTGTATAACAACTTATGGCCTTTGATGTTGTCATTGATAAAATAACAATATACAGGCTTGAGATAGGATGAAGCAATCTTGATGAAATGTTGTATTGTCATGAAATGTAACTAACTCTGAAAACAATATTGCCTTACACTCTTTCTTTCTTTTTTCCTTCTTTTTTCTTTCTTTTTTCTTTCGTTCTTTCTTTCGTTCTTTCGTTCTGTCTCTCTGTCTCTCTGTCTCTCTCTCTCCCCCCCTCTCTCTCCCTCTCTCTCTCTCTCTGTCTCTGTCTCTCTCTCTCCCTCTCTCTCTCTCTCAGGTGCAGACTGTGACGTGGACACGGCAGCCCGATACATCGCCGGAATGTTTGTGTCTCTCAATGCCACGCCCAGCAAACTCATCTACCACCACTTCACCACTGCAACGGACACCTCCAACGTACAGATCGTCTTCCAGGTCGTCATGGACACCATCATCAAAGAGAACCTAGAGGCAGTCTCTCTGCTATGATTGATTCTAAGAGTTCCGATGGTACTGGTTGGTTTCTGGGGTGAAGTTTCCATTGGGACAGAGCTAGGCTCTGCTTCCCCTCACCCAATCATAACCTTAAAGGGTCAATCAGCATTTGCTACGTCCATTTTTGGACTTATAAATGAATGATATGTGCCCATTGATTCTTAAAGAATATAACTTATAAATACCTCATGAGCTTAGTTCAAAATATAAGTTTGTTTTATGCCAACGTTTGTAAACAAATAGCCTCAACATGGTTAAAACTAGAATGTTGATATCATGGACGGACAGTCTTCGCATCCTTAGCTCTATCTATGCATTTGAGAGGTTACAATTCTCCAGCCCCATCCCTCAGCTTCTTACCAAAACGGGCGGGGAGGACACTTTATTGTTTCACCTGCTGATTGCCGCTTTAACCGTTAGGTGGGGAAATGCAAAACAGACCCAAGATCAGTGACTGTGCTACTTCACCCTACTCTGTTTTCCAGTTCCGGAAGAACAACGTTTGGAAGTCAACTTCATAATGAAAGACCCCTCTGTTCAGTTCCACTGGAACTGTTTTGAATCCCCTCTAAAAACTTTATTGAGATGACTTTTTGGAACAATGTGGAGCTCCATTGGAGAACATTTCACTTCCCTCGCCTTGTTTTTGTGAACAATCATGGACTTTATGCTGCATATTTATTTGTTGTGTTATTGTTGTTGTTATGCAACCCTAATCAGAATATGAATAATACAACATCAACATTTTAATTCTTAACATAATTGTTATATTTCTTATTCATACCAGAGCTGCCTTAGCAGTTAATTGGAGGGACCCTGTAGATGGCAATGGTAGGCTTCCTCTCAGCTTTGGTTGCTCGGTTACAGTCATCTGGCTAAATGCTCACTCAGCTTAGTGTGTGTATAGGCAGGCAGACAGGAGTGAGGATTTACCGTTGGTCCATTAGATGCGCGGGCAGTGCGGTGCTGCTTGTTGAGGTATGGAGTTATGGGTCACTCATCCATACAGACAGTGTGTGAGAGAGGTAAGGGGTTCACTCATGCATACAGACAGAAGTAGTGTATTTTCCTCCCATCTATCAATGCCTAGCCCCACTCAGTGGCCCCCCTAGCTGTGCATCACACACTTCTTAATGGGACAGTGATCACAGAAAACAACTGGCTTTATTTAACTGCAGTAAATCTCATCACTCTTTTGTGTCTTGCTTTCTCTCTCTTTCTCTTCCTCTCTCAAACACCTCTTCCTTTCTCTCTCTCTCTTTCTCTTCCTCTCTCAAACACCTCTTCCTTTCTCTCTCTCTCTTTCTCTTCCTCTCTCAAACACCTCTTCCTTTCTCTCTCTCTCTTTCTCTTCCTCTCTCAAACACCTCTTCCTTTCTCTCTCTCTCTTTCTCTTCCTCTCTAACTCCTCTCTCTCTCTCTCTCTCTCCTCTTTTTCTTTATTTACATGTTTTATTCTGTCATGCATTTGGGGATTTTTGTTTAAGTTGCCCAACATTGACAAGTTGGAAGACTATTGCTATCAAACTAGTTCTAAGCATCTATGAGAAATACAATAATCTCCTTACCATTATGTGTATATAAGAATCATTCCTAATTGTGCCTGTTTTACGGTGGTCTTGGAAAAAAAAGTGCCTTTTTTGGTGTCTCAGAAATGTAACATTGTTTCAATATGTAGGCCTATTTGGTATTTAAATTCTGTTTTATATGCGTCTGTCATCTATTAACATTTAAATCTGGAGTTTTGGAGATTTGGACACAGAATTTGATTATAATTCAGTTGATCTTGTGAAGTAACTCTACCTTGGTGTCTTCAGATCAAGGCTATGACAATTAAATAATTATTTTACATGTTTCATAGTCGTTTGTTTACTGGACGTGTGGTCGTTTTTAGAAAGAAAACAAAGCAGATTAAAGCAATACTGCCAAAGGCGGTGTGGTACATGGCCAATAGACCAAGGCTAAGGGCTGTTCTTAAGCACGACGCAACACGGAGTTCCTTGATACAGCCCTTAGCCGTGGTATATTGGCCATATACCACAAACCCTTGATGCGCCTTATTGCTATTATAAACTGGTTACCAACGTAATTAGAACAGTAAATAGTACTTTTTTTGTCATACCCCATGGTATATGGTCTGATATACCATGGCTTTCAGCCAATCAGCATTCAGGGCTCTAACTACCCAGTTTATAATAGGCTATATAGTCCAACTGACTGCAGAAAAATTTGCTTAAGTGAAAAACATTTGGTCAGTATGAAAATACTTAAATACAATTGATTTCCGTTGTTGAGGCTTCGAAATAGGCTATATCCTACTGCACAAAAAAATATGAAACATATCTCCTTCATTTGTTTCCACAATTAATCTGTAGCTTAGGCTACTATCAGTCAAGCATAAATACAAATGTACACCAACCAAATTAGCAATATTTGTTCATTTTAATAAAATAAATAAAAGTACTTTGACAGGTTCTGCTCAGCAGGCAACGATTTATGAACATTTAATAATAGCCTACATTTGACAACGCAGGTAGCCTACAAGGGAGGGGTGCCGGGTGAGGGTCGGCATAGGGATATAGGGGAGTCGGGGGGTTGACAAAAAATAGCTTTGTAGCCTAGTTACAACTTTCTCTCACACACATTGCACTTTGGGTTTTTCGTTTTGTCTTTTTTGTTTGGTTTTACACAGCTAGTATTAAACAAACATTATTCACATCCGTTTTTTTATATAAATGATGAGAAAACATTCAATGTCATCATCAATCAACGGGTCCTTCTTTTTCGCTCACGCTGCCTCCCTTCTTGCCCATCTACCTCGCGGAAAGTCAACTGTTGTTGTTTTGGGGGTCTCACGCCGCCAAGCAGTCCAGCGAGTCGAGGGAGAGGAACACGTCAGCCTTGCACTGGAACGTGCTCGTGCCGTCCCGCAGCAGCTCGCAGCTCTTCAGGTTGGGAGAGATGTCTTTCACACAGATAGCCTGAGAGATGGAGAAAGAGAGATTTAGAGAGAGAAACGGCTAGTTAAATAATGTTCGTTAATTAATTAGGGCAAATTAATACAGTAAGGTAGGCCTGTTTGGGAAAAATGTGCTGAAATGTAGAAAAATCTAATGGATGCAAATGTTCAAGAAATGAAAGTAGTTTTTATTGTTACATTTAAATATAGACCGACTACTGAGACATGTTGTCTTGTCAAAGGTTGGTTTTAGTTCAGTTTTGTTTTTGTCACATTCAGGTTACTATTTATAGGCTATTATTCATGTAGGTCTAGCCTATAGTCTACAATGTATTTTATCGGGCATAAAGACTGCTAAAACCGTTTTAATTTCTCTATGAAAGTAGGCAAGTAGGCAACATCTCTGTGATGTTGCTCGTGTCTCTGGTGCTAAAAGGACAGCGCCTTTTACGCAGGAGACTGACGTCTGGCGCGCTACTTCCTAGTCGATTCCAATTTTATAATCTCACTTTTTAAAGATGTTTAAACTTTTAAAAGTGACTACGGCACTTTGTTATAATGTAAATGTTTTGGGCAATGGCAAAATTTGTCAATGGCAATCAATTCACTTCATTAATTTGCGTGCAGGTAGAATCTAAGAAGAAATGTATTGTATTTTACAATATATAGGCCTAATAGTGTCTAACCTACTCTCTTTGGGTATCATCTACCTTAGACTTTAATTCAACGATTTTACGTCGCAAATCACACTTACCATGTTTTTGAGCACGGGGGTCTGTCTGTTACCATCCGTCACCAAGTTGTTCTCGGTGCCGGTGGTCTCCCCGCTGTCCATCACCGTTTCTTCTGACTCAGACCTCCGGATGTACGGGGACCTCCGGATCCCGGACAGCAGACCCGAGGCTCGGCCAACGGAGTGGTAGCTCGGTCCGGTGGACTGCTTGTACCACGCCTCGATAGGGTGGCACGAGATGAGCATGGAGATACCGACGCACACCACCGCGAATCTAACAGACCTCTCCATCTCGTGGCGCTTTTTATGCAGCTGGATGGAATGTTGGTTTGACGGTTAGTTGGTTCGGTTGTCGTTGGGATGTTTTTGGTTCTTCTGTTCTTGTCTTCTTATCTGGTGAGCTGTAGCCTAGGTTACCAATATCAACTGACGTTTTTGTTGTCAGGATCTTCGGTTGGTTGGGTGTTCCCGAATGTTGTGGCGGTTTATATAGGCGCGCGGCGCGATCGTGACCTGTCGATTGGATCAGAAGGGTTGGATGATTCATGTTTTCGCACGCAGAGGAACAGTCCAATCCGGATTTATGCGTTATCTCTTTTCCCGTGTGTTTGAGGAGGTAGGGGGGAGGTTGACATAGTGACATCACACCGATCCTCATCATCTGATTCTTGAGAAAATTACGTTTATTGACACATGACTGGAATAAACGTCATGAATGGTCCAACATCAGATGCTTTAACTTTAGAAAACTGGGAGAGAGAGAGAGAGACAGTCCACTGAGTGGATTCGTAAATGTGTTCAAGTGCTCGTAAATTATAGGCTATCCTAAGAAGCACACGTTTTCAGTTAGCTTGTTAGTTTATCCTTCGGTAGAACTCCGTACCTCCACAACAGTGTAAATACAATCCCAATGTTAGATAACAGCCAATGGATTCTATATAACCAATGAATGGTGTGGCTGCTGAACAAATTGAGGAGACTAAATTACTTGGTGTAAACTTAGATTGTAAACTGTCATGGTCAAAACATATAGATTCAATGGTTGTAAAGATGGGGGGAGGTCTGTCTGTAATAAAGAGATGCTCTGCTTTTATGACACAGCACTCCAAAAAGCAAGTTCTGCAGGCTCTAGTTTACTCTTATCTTGATTATTGCCCAGTCGTGTGGTCGAGTGCTGCAAGGAAAGACCCTAGTTAAGCTGCAGCTGGCCCAGAACAGAGCGGCACGTCTTGCTCTTCATTGTAATCAGAGGGCTCAATTTACACAGCTCTGACACACACTTACCTTACTAGACATGCCACCAGGGGTCTTTTCACAGTCCCCAAATCCAGAACAAATTCAAGAAAGCCTACAGTATTATATAGAGCCATTATTGAATGGAACTCCCATCTCATATTGCTCAAATGAACAGCAAAGCCTCTCCCCTATTTGACCTAGATAGTTTGTGTGTATGTATTGATATGTAGGCTACATATGCCATTTTTGTATTGCTATAGTTCTATCCTTGAGCTGTTCTTGTCTATTAATGTTCTGTATTATGTCATGTTTCATGTTTTGTGTGGACCCCAGGAAGAGTAGCTGCTGCTTTCGCAACAGCTAATGGGGATCCTAATAAAATACAAAATACCACCTTGTCGTCCATACATGCACAAATGGCAAAATAACAATTACGCATAGGCTCCATTAACCTAGATAAACATTTAAACTTAAAAGTGCTCTTCAAAAGCGCCCTCCAACATCGGAGACCAGATCATCAATAATCTGACCATATAACGCTAATGGAACTGAGTAGTGTATGATTTAAAACGAATCGGTAAATCAAATTGTCTGTGGTTCTTGTGACTCAGCCGGATCTGATGTTAGCCGACCTGTTGTGTGATCCACATGCAACAGGCTGATATAATATAGCCTAGAAACAATCCGATATATGGTTTAAATGATGGTATTGAAACTGTAAGTGCTGTCCTAGCTTTGCCTAGGGAAATAAAACACCTTTTCCAGTCTACTGTTAGGCATACGTAGCCTATCACACATGCGTTCTCATCATCAGAAATCATTTACACAAGCCATCTGCTGGGAACAACAAGGTCTCTAAATAAAACAGGATATTTCTGTTTTCTTACATTTCCGTTCATCCCATCCCCAAACATAGGTTTGATACCAAAGAGAAATAGACTTTAAACGGTGATGCTCCAACTAGTTCGTTATTAATCTTTTCAATTTACCCTGTAAACAACATACAGATCTCTTTAGGTTTAGGCCTGCAGTATCTTGACTTGCTTTGCCTTAAAACTCTGCCTGTAAAATCTCGATCTCTCTCTCATTAGGTAATGAAAACGTCACATTGTTTTCTGTACTGGTGTTTTATAATAGCCAAATGAAAGAGCCAAATACTGTCAACGAGCAGTGAGCTTCATCTTCTATCATCACCTATGGGTTCAGGAGTGAAGACACCTTTTTATATCAGCTTTGAAGAACTTAAATACAGATTACATTATTATGAAATAAAGAATAAACCGGAGATGCAAGAAAATACTTTATTTGACAAAATATATAAAATCCCAATAACATCTAGATATTGTTCAACTGAAATCATACAAAACATACATTGTATGAATGATGGTCTTTAAAAGTCCAGTACATTTGCACTGAAGCTACACCACATTTGTTATTTCTTTTGGCCATAGATGATGGTCATCATAATCATAACCCAGAGTTCTCCCTGTTCAGGTCACGAGATGGTTCCTGGTCAAAACTCCTGGCCCTATAGTCATAACTCATAACAGGCTGTGGTTCAATTTCAATCACGGTCTTGTTGCGGTCAGAGTCCGTCCGTGAACATTCAGCTGTGAATAAGGTGTATTATTAGATCGGAGCCGGTAGTAAAGTCATAATCATTGCAGTTCACTTGTGGTTCAGTGGCGTTCAAATAAAGCCAGTTGTGGCTGCACATCATGAACTGAGAAACAATCTGGCCACATCCTCTTAAAGGGATACTTCGGGCTTTTGCAATGAACTAGTTTACATTGGCTCGCAAAACTACCTCTAACTTCCTTCATACTGGATGCAGAGACATACAAATTGTATCCATGAGTTCATCTGACTCCGAGGAAGTAGCACCCCTTAAATGACCACATGTACTCTTAAATGACCACATGTACTCTTAAATGGCCACATGTACTCTTAAATGGCCACATGTACTCTTAAAATGGCCACATGTACTCTTAAATGACCACATGTACTCTTAAATGGCCACATGTACTCTTAAATGGCCACATGTACCCTTAAATGACCACATGTACTCTTAAATGACAACATGTACTCTTAACCTCTACCTGGTACAGCCAGAAAAGGATGTTGGTGGCTATTGCTGTCAAACACAGAGTCCGCTTAGGCTGCACCTTGATTAGAAGCTTTTATTAATATCACAAGTGTACAGCATAAGTTACAGACCCGCGGTGTCTGGAGAAGCACCGTCCCAAATTAATCTGAATGCCTCTGCCCGCTCTTTGTCTAGCTCCTACTTATAAACAATGGCAAAAATGGGTTGCTCCCTTTTTCATCCAATCACCGGTCTCCCCTGGGGCGTCACCCTCCAAACGGCTACATTTGAACTAAGATAAACATCCTCTGCTTCCATTAAGAAAGTCGTAATCTTTAATACACTACACAACGTCACCTGCTCTAAAGGAGAGTGGAGTCTCTTCCTGTGTGTCACACTGACCTGAGTATTGGGGATCGAATCATGAAATGCAAGACTGAAGGGGCAGCAACAATCTGCACAGCATCATGTCCAAATGGATGGACCTTCCAAGATGGCAGGACCGAGCAACCTTGTAGTGTTTCCACTCTACCCAGCCGCTGTGACAGACAGGGGCACGACTGACAGCTCTTGTAGGGATAACGAAGTCTGTAGGTAAACGTAAGGATGGATGCGGTCTCCATTCCTGTGGGATAATCAACACGGAATGCATCACGACCAATCATGCCGCCAAATGTGAGTGTGTGAGTCCTTGGATCGGGCATCCTAACTGGGGCTGCCACGACCAACCTCTACGTTGGGAGACCGCTAGAGGAGGACAATATGTGAACAGTATGTGAACAAGTCTTATTCTATACCAGTTAGAAAATAAGTTCATCTCTAAAGAAATCACGGGCAATCTCCTAGAATAAAAACTAGATTGTCCATTATAACAGTAATAACAATAGGAACAGGTTGACAATATGAAGACACCAAGAGGCTGAGGTGTCAGCTTGGTTTTGTATTTCATGTTTATTTTCTGTTCCTGGGGCCTGCCTGCTCATCTAAACTGGTCATGGTCAATTTGATATTTCATCTTTTTATTTGATTTATGAGTTGTGCCAATTTAGTAAGTCTCACATAAGTATGGACCAGTCCATACTATCCAGATTGACTTACAGTAGTGATTGGATACATTTTCACACCAAATCGAACCCACAGACCTAGCGTTGCAAACAACATTCTCTACCAACTGATTCACACAGGACCACAGGATCACATGGGATTCTTCATTGCCCCTCTCTAAATGGACTTTTATCTAGGACTAGCCATATAGGCTCAAAACCCCTTCAAAGTGGTAAGCCTTAGGTTACCCACTAATTTGAATAGAAGCTTAACCTATATATAAAATAGTGATAAAACATGGCAACTAAAATAATTGAAAAGTGTCAAATTATTTCATAAATGCCCATTTTGTTCCAGATGCTGTCACATCCCCAGAAGGAGCAGCTGTTTGTATGGCTAGAGCACCAGCTATAAGGAAGGATCCATTGTCGACATTTGTATGTATGAATACGATTGGACAGTGCAGTTTGCTAAATCCTACCCGGTAACACATTGAACATTACCCAGTCGCAATGCACGTCTTCTATCAAGCAATTCACAAATAATGTAAAGAATTATGCAATATATTTTCTACAGTTACGGGTAGAGGGAAGGAGTTGAAGTGAAATCTTTCCTCCCGAACTTCAGTTTTAGCTACAGTAACTTCACATTGAGTTCAATGCTAGCCCTTGAGTACCAAACTTAGTTCATGAGCAGGTGTCTGTCTCTGCAGGTACCTGTGGACCCCTGTGGTAGCAATAGATGAGTGGAATGGTTCTGGAAAGGGTCCATCAGCGAATCTGTGCAGATCGGTAATTCAAACCATTTTCCAGGTGTACTGATGCATGTGTTCAGGTGACTTTTATACAAGTCATGCGTTTTTACTGATTCGTTATAATATTTTTTTCTGTCCTCTAGTGATGCCGAAATAAATAATGGGTACATGTTTCACATTGCATACATTTATGAGAAGGAAGACAGGACTGGTGACTTCTACATTCTGAGAAGAAAAGAAACGTTTTTAAGTCAGCCTAAGTCAGCTTAATGATGATGGAAGTTTTGTTTGTTTCATGTCATTTTTCTGTAGTTGTGCTTTTCCTC